CCTGATGATCTTTCTTTCCACGTAGAGAAAATCACTGTAGTACCTGTGAGTCTGGAGAAGAAGATTTTTGAAATATTGGATAATTTTCCCTTTGGGGCCCCGCCCTGGCCCCAGGGGTGGGGGTAGGAATCCCAATTTTACAATTTTGAAGCCTCATCTACCAAGGATGATTCTGACCAAGTTTGAAAAAAATCCATCCACTGGTTCTTGAGAAGAAGTTGAAAATGTAAAAGTGTACGCACGATGCACGATGCACGACGGACGACGACGGACGAAAAGCGATTGGAATAGGTCACTTGAGCAAAGCTCAGGTGACCTAAAAATGCTTTAAGACACTCTGGATATAAAACTGAACAAGAACAAGAATCAAATATTTGCAATGCAGAAAATTCTTATAGGGGACTGCAGAGTTAGCTCCCTTGATAGCAACCATCCTCACTTGCGAGTATCTGGAAAGATACCAAACATCTGCAAATAGGGAGTTCTAGTTGAAGGACACTCATGTGACATGAACCTACCTTTCCAAAGACATTTTTGTTAATATCTTGGCACTCTGTTTGACCTTTATGAAAAAGTTTGGAACTTCTTTGTTATGAAAAATTAGTATTCTTTGTATCTTCAAATAGCGACATCCTAAAGAAAATCAGGGGAAATACGTCCTTCTGTTATTATAAGCGAGATAATTTTAACACAAATAATTGGTGTGTAAGGTAACATATATCCCTAAGAACAGACATGCTATCCAGTAATCTATTATGCTCTGGAACAGAGAACTATGTCCAACTGAAGTTGACATGCCCATCATTTCTAACATCTAACAACATATACATTGGACATGGTCGTAAGTATGTTTTTAGTTTTATTACAAGTACATACTGATGAGAATATTGCAAATGAATGATAATGATATATTTTCAGTAATGTTTTCTTGCTATAACTTGAAAAGGTCAGTGCTGTAATTTCTTGAACATAAATCGATCAGTACCCTCATAAAAACTACAATAGTAGTCCTGATAAAGACTTATTATTAAAAGAGTTAAACTGATCTAGACAAGCGACAAGAATATTCTTGATCACAATCAATAACTACAAGAATAATTTTGATCAAGATCAGTGACTACAAGCCTAGTCTTAATCGAGATTATTGATAACAAGAGTAGTGTTGATCCTGACCAGTGGGGATGTGTTAGTTCACTAAAATTAACAGCACTTTTTTCACTGGTGATAAAACAAACCCCACTAGATCGTATGTCCAATTAGGTCCAGTATATTACTGCATGAAGTGACAAGAAATAACAATTAAATAAGTTTAAAAAACAGCTGAACCAATAACAACATTTAGTCAGCATTCTATGTAAGCGGCCAAGATTTTATCAACAGACACATGTACAAAATAATAAAACAAAAAGTGAGCTAAGGCTCAAATAGATACCCACTCCCCCCTCCCCTGAAAGTGGTCAAGAACAACTTTTAGACACCTTAACCTTGACCAATGACCACAACAAGGTTACAATAATATGGAGTACATCTACACAAAATCTGTTGATGGGTTCTCTAGATATCTTATACATGAGTTTTTTAAATTTCAAAGTGATAAATTGTGACCATTTATCAGATATAGCATCTTATGTAGTTCAGACATAAATTATATATATTTATTTAAGAATTCATTTCATTCAATTTGTCACTTATCAACATTTTCATGACTTATTCTAGCACGGTCGTTAACTTCCCCAATTTAGACTCACTGTTTCCCAAACTAACCTGATAAATCCCTTCAATGTACTAGCAGTATGAATATCAACCAGAGGGTTTTGAATATATGACACTACTAATTCTGCATGCTTAGATCACCGACACACCAACCCAAGGTAATGTAATGGGACTTCTACAAGTACATGTATAATAAACTGCAGATCACAAAATATGTAACCCTGTAAGGAAGCATATATACTTCTGGGAGAAATTCCAAAACATGTCCCAGGTTAAAGGTGTATAGTGGTATAAAGCCTGAAGCATACATACAGCTCGTCGTCTCCAAATATAACACAGAAGAGCCAACTGAACACAACTTATCATTTTGCGCCTTTAAAAGTTTCTAGAGATTCAGGTAATAGTGTTTCATAGAAACGAACTAAAGGGTATATAAATTTTAAATGATCTATATGATGACAATGCGTATGACAAATGACACATAAATATAAGGTACATATTATGTAGACTATGTTATCCAGCACTAATCTGTGTACAAAATTCTCACATTTCCACACAAAATTATATATAAACAGTTGTCTATTATCTTTCATTCCTCCGCACACAGGTAAATAGTCTATAATCCTCAACTTCTTCACACACTGGTATACAGTTATCCTCAATTCTTCCGCACACAGGTAAACAGTGTTTAACTCTCTCCTCCTCCAAACACAGGTAACCAATCAATAAATCTCTACTCCTCTACACACAGGTAACCAATCAAAAAATGTCTACTCCTCTACAAACAGGTAACCAATCAAAAAATCTCTACTCCTCTACACACAGGTAACCAATCAATAAATCTCTACCCCTCTACACACAGGTAACCAGTCAATACATCTCTCCTCCTCTACACACAGGTAACCAGTCAATACATCTCTTCTCCTCTACAAACAGGTAACCAATCAAAAAATCTCGACTCCTCTACACACAGGTAACCAATCAATAAATCTCTACCCCTCTACACACACTCTATACACAGGTAATAGTCTATAACGGCTACTCTGCACTCCTCCATATATAGGTAAACAGTCTATACCTCTCTCCTCCTCTATACACAGGTAATAGTCTATAACAGTTACTCTCTACTCCTCCATACACAGGTAAACAGTCTATACCTCTTTCCTCCTCTATACACAGGTAATAGTCTATAACAGTTACTCTCCACTCCTCCATACACAGGTAAACAGTCTATACCTCTCTCCTCCTCTATACACAGGTAATAGTCTATAACAGTTACTCTCCACTCACAAGTAAATTGTCTTAGACCCTCTACTCCACACACAAATGTCCATATTTTCATTTTCTACTCCTGTAATAAAAGCACATATACTGTATAAGGTTCCTTTTTTTGCCCGAATCTCATTTTTCGCTTTTACCTCCACAAACTTGTCCATATATTACCGCAAACACTTGTTGATGTTTAGTAGGTTAACACTAAAAAACTACCTTTCAATAACAATTTCATGAATGTTCCATTCATTATACTTTTGTGGTACAAAGTCAAAAAGTTAAGCCAGGAATTTAAGAGTCACTACAGTCTACAGTTATATGTAAACAACAGCATATATCAGTTTTTGTTCTGATGTACTCTTCCATTTTGATCTCAAATATTGAAATCATACATGATATCACCATTTTCATTCTTCTTTCATTTTGTTAACACAAATATAGGTAGATAGCATCCATTCCTCCAGTGACAGCGCTTACTCGCCTTCCTCACACTCATTATTCTCACAGTCAGCCTCCTCAGCACATGGAGATTGTCACATTGATGCCAAGATTTCCATGGTCTGCAAACAGCTGAGCAATGTTTGTATCGAATACAAGACAGTCACTAGCTACGATGGCAGACTGTACACCATCGTGAATGCTGCGGGGGGTAGCCTCCCAGGACAGGCGTCGTCGATGGCCGTTCAACTCAAGTCTGTTAACAGACAAACAAAGAATGTGTCAGAGTTGTGTTAAATTAAAGGAACATAAGCCAAGTTGTGAGATTGATATTTGAAATCAACAAATGAATCAGCATAATCAGGCAAATCTGCACATTGAAACCCACACATACTGTGAAATTCTGTTACAATATTCATGTGATGATGTTTTAGGCTACATTGTTTTATGAAAATGCTCATGCTACCATTAATAAATGATACAGATGTGTTCCTAAGAAAACATTATTCAAACTGACAAGAAATACTGTTGCTTCTGAGGCTCTCATTAATTGTGATTTATTTTCTGATTGCTTCTTCAATGTTTAGTATTCCCCCCTCCCCCCAAATTAAAATGACTAAGCCAGGCTGAGAAAACAGATTATCAATAGTAATACGCCTTCTTGTCTGCATGTGCCTATTAGCTGGTCAGGATTGGTCAGGATGATTGGAGTTAGGCACTTAAAACAAACCACTGATACACACCTGTATGCAAAGTTTTCTGCCTGTTTGCGTGTGCCTATTAGCTGGACAATTGCATAGAACATTTGCTGTCCCTCCGTCTTCTCCTGTTTTTCTAGCACCAACATGAAGTTATGGCCAAAGCAAGACTGCATCATAACCCAGTCAACTGCGCCTGGGAGATTTATGTCTGTTGCCAGGAAAACAATGTCTTCACCTGTCAATCAATCATAATAAAACATGACATGTTAAACTAGCTTCCTCAGGACAAGGTGTTACAATAGTCTTTTACTATGTACCTGCATGCTATTCTCATAAAATTGTATGCTGAAAAATCAAAAACATTCTGCAAAAACCTGTGGATATTAAAAGGACTGTCCAATGGTACAAGTGAGATAAAGTTAAGGTTGACCTCTGTAGCGATGATCTGTTAGCGTTAGGGAGGGGTAACCTACCTTGAAGTGTTGTGATACTTTTGTGTTGCTGCATTAGATGTGACATCACTTGCTCCAGTGATCCCTGCCATTTACATGAGGCTCCTGGACATGGACAGCAGTAAGGTCTGTAGCAATATTTAAGAGACAAAATTTTAGCATGATTATGAGGATCAAATTCCAGATTAAAATCATACAAATTTTGTCCCACGAGACATTGCTCCCATTTTTTCTTACAGGACCTTGCCCCCTGATGTTTCTCAATGAGACCATGCTTCCGTTATTTTACCCAAATGAGATCTTGTTCCTATTTTACCCAGATGTGACGCCTGCTGTATGGCTATATGAACATGTTTCTCAGTGTATTGTAATGCCCTCTTGTTAAATTCTGATGGAATTAAGTCCCTCTATTAAATCCTGTTACGACAACATCCCTTTGTTATATTTTGATGAGACAGGGTCCCTTTTTTAGCTTTGATATCAAACAGTTTTTCTCTGTTTCACTCTGTTGAGACAGTGTTTATCATCCTCAGGAAACAAACAGAGTCCCAGTGTTAGACCTTGATGTGACAGACTCTGTAAAACTCTGATGGGATAGTGTCGTGTCTTTTATACACTGACCACAAAACACCACTCTGTTATATCCTGGTAAGACAGTGTCCCTCTTTAGAATTCTGATGAGACACATATCTGTACCTGTATTCGCATGTCTCCTCATGATCTGTTTTGTCAGTGTGTAGCAGTGTGGCAGGACAGCCACTGGACGAGTATTTACAAGGGAACATGACGGTGCTTGCCACTTTCTCCATCGCTAAATTACGTATATTTCCTGTAAACAAAGAACACATTGTACACATACACATGTTACCTGTTACAAACTCAACAAAAGAATACTATATATATATATGTGACCAGACAGATTTGGTTATGACAACTTAATTAACAGACAGATTTAGGTCTGGGTTTTCTATTTAAATCAGGAACAAATTCTAGCTCAAATTCCACATCCAATGATGGTATTTCAATATTTCAATATTTCACTTCTGAATGACCAGGGGGGGGTTAGAAGAAAATAACACTTCATCAGGATGATTAGATCATTATTGCTATGTTCCAGATAAAGCAGCCTATTCAAACTTGAAACAGTTTAAGTTTAAGTGTTTCTGTTTGAAACAGTTTGCAAAATGGCAACCATAGTGGCCATAGATTTTTGATTGACCTAAAAATTACAGCATTGTGTCATGATAATGATAATCAATTGATCATCCCTATCAGGTTTTATTTACATTTTCCTAGAAGATATGACCTTTAAGTTCAAATTTTTTGTTTCAACAAATTAAAGATAAATGATGCATGCATAGAACAGATCTTGACAAATTGTTCTTACCTAATGGGCCACGACATGTTGGACACATAGTCAGCTTCTGTCGACAGGCCTGACACACTATGTGGCCGCTCTGACACTGCATGATGGGAGGAAGCGCATAGTCAAAACACACTGGACACTCAAATAGGCTGGCCAGGTCAGAATTGTTAGGGTTCCCGGCTGCAGCTGAATCGAAACAAATATTTTAACAAAAGAAACACATTGGCAGAACAATAGAGGCCTATATTAACTCACAAACTTCACTCACCTGGCAGCATCCGGACAAGCTGACAAGTGATTTTTCCTCACCCCTACATTATATATGTACTTACCCAGGGCAGCTGCAGCATTTGCTGGTCCGCCATTGGCTGCTACTGGGATGTGTGACCTCTGTTTCCCAGAGGATGACGTCTGTCGACTGAGGCTCATCTTGGAGGTTAACAGCACTCTCCAGTCAGAACTACAAACAAGTAATCAACTTTTATCAACACATACGTTTAATAACATATTACAGTAAAATTGTAATCAGTGGCAAAAATAGGTTTTAGTTATAAAGAAACAAGTGCTCATTATAAGAGCATTTAGAGATCGCTGTGGAGCGAACAGCTATTTGTTAATTTACTATTTTATACATCATAGCAAGACGATCGCAAGAATCATAACGCCGGTCTGCCAGGCTACGCCACTGCAAGTGGTGCAGCATATCGCTCACACTGAACATATTCCTGTGTCGATTAGTAACAAAATGGGCAGCTCGGCGTTGGACCTTCTCAATTTGGTCAATATTTTTTTTTAAATGTGGTTCGACCCATTTTTATGTGATCAATCAATGTCTTATGATAATATAAAATTGAAGAATTTTGCATGAACACTCGATCATAACAAATCTCAGAAATTAAACATAGTATCATCAATGACTTAATGTAGTCGATATATACGTGAAATCATTGTTTAGACATGCAACGTGAAAGTACGAAAACTCTCAACACAATGAAAAAATATTCACCAAAGACCACTGACAATGACTGATGTCAGACTGAATCATGAATTTCTTACCATTGAATACACATACGATAACTTGGTTGATACAATTTCATAAAATACATTTACTTCGAGAACTTACCATAATGATATAACTTTCACTACAAAAACAATGATTGGAAATTCCCTATATATAACATGACATGTTTCATGCAACATAAAACATGGCGGTCGAGGTTTCTCTGATTTAGAGCGATGTATTGAGCAAGTGCTTACTAATTATGAGTATACATTCATATAGACCTAATAATAGAGACCAAATTTATCCTATTCAGTAAAACTATTATTAAAACGGCTCCAAAAAAGAATCATAAAATGTCAATTTCCTATTACCCAAGGTCTTCTCAAATCTGACAAATTCTGCTTTCGGATTATCATTTTTCTACTCGGAACGCTTCGCATTTGTACCATTCACGAGTGATGGTGAGGTTCCCGAGAGGATTTCCCCAAAAAGCGCTTTCCAGTTGACAATTATCGACTTTCTGGATCCAGATATCCCTCCAGATATCTCTATAATCTAAAATAAGAATATATTATAACATGTAACTTCAATTAAACTTTGTATTTAAAAAAAATATTCAATAGATAAATTAATTCTTAAAAGTGCATTTTCAATGGATTTTTATGTGTTCGTGCAGGTTCATGGACCTACAGCAAAAAGGTCAAAAGTCTTTTACGTTATGTCATACGATTTAGGTTGATTAACTTTCTTTTTCATAATATATTAGAGAAATATCCAGTGTTTCTTGTAGTATTATTTATACTATTATCCGTGTCTCTGTTGTTGATATATTTCTTTTTTTGACCACAGCATAAACATATTGTTTGACGTCATTCCTATTAGTAGCAGCGATGTTAAATGTTGCCACATTATAAGCATTGTCTGGCCAGTTAGAACTCTACGGAACGGGTAATTATGTAATTTGAATATTACCAGTAGAAGCGCATGTTTAGACAAAAATCGGAAAGAAAATGATCAAAGAATCTTATGGGAAAAAGGCGTAACGTGAACAAAATGGTAAATCATAAACGTGGTCGTAGCGTGAAAGATTGCACACTAGCGTGTACTGAATGGTCGTAGCGTAAACGATTGCACACTAGCGTGTACTGAATGGTCGTAGCGTAAGCGATTGCACACTAGCGTGTACTGAATGGTCATAGCGTAAAAGATTGCACACTAGCGTGTACTGAATGGTCGTAGCGTTAAAGATTGCACACTAGCGTGTACTGAATGGTCGTAGCGTAAAAGATTGCACACTAGCATGTACTGAATGATTGCTTGGTGTACGAACTTAGAGAATCTACTCTGATTCGCGGTAAGATACTACAAAAATACATATAGCGCGATTCATGTTTATGACTTAGAAATGCCAACTGAAATCAGTCCAATGCATAACTACCAAGTGCTAATATTGAAGGTATATCTTCGGGGAATTTGGAAATATTTGAAATCATTTACAGATATGTGCAGTTCAACTAAAGGTACCTTAAATTAAATCAGAGTAATATCTTCAATTGTATGTAGTTAAAAGTAGGTGCAATTCAACTGACGATATTTTCAATCAAGTTGAAGATACGTTCAAAGGAATTTAACGTTTGAACTCGTTTGAATATATTCAATATTGAATTGCATTATATGTCGAGATATATTTAATTGAATTGAGCCCATCTTCCACAGTAACTGAAGAAATAGACATGAATCAAACACATCACCAGAAAAAATTCAATTGAATTGAAGGTATCTACAGATTAATTGAAGGTATCTACAGATTAATTGAAGGTATCTACAGATTAATTGAAGATATCTTTAATTATTTGAAGACAGTTCACCTTGCCAAGGTAAAAACTGATTATACCTGCCAAACGGCTCAGGTAGTGGTTCTACTTTTCTTGTGTCCGGCCAAAAGTTGAGTCAGTCAGGCCTACCACACACATTGGAATGAATTGAACATACTAAATTAGAGATACATGTGTGTATATTTTATTGTAAACTTTAAAAGAAATGGTGTTCTATTATTATTTCGAAAAATGCAAACAGTGGCTCAGGTTGTCCTGGTCTCCAGGAATATAGTTTCAGAGGCAGTTCAAGTTTATCCTCGATACTACAGGATTTACTCTCACTTACGCTCTCTGCATTGTATTGCATTGCAGAGAGTGTAAGTGAGCGTAACCCCTGGATTACAGAGAGCGTAAGTGAGCGTTACCCCTGGATTACAGAGAGCGTAAGTGAGCGTTACCCCTGGATAAAAGAGAGCGTAAGTGAGCGTAACCCCTGGATTACAGAGAGCGTAAGTGAGCGTAACCCCTGGATTACAGAGAGTGTAACTCCTGCAGAATCGGGGATGGTTCAAGTCAGAGAGAGGGGATTAAATTTCACGTGTCAAGATATTAAAATAAACTTACATTTAGAATGGCATTTATGATTCCATTTAAATGTAACAGTTAACTTAATACGACACGAGGGTTTCCGTTTTTGTTTCACTACACATAATGATACATTTCGTAATGTTGAGATTGGAGTGGCGATGCACTACGTAGTGTTATCCATGGGGGAAACGGTGAGTTGGAGGGTGGGAGTGGGGATGGGGTGGGGTCTTGTAGGTCCGTTCATCCCCTTTTGGTCATTGACAATTTAATTGTTGGAAATGAATTGTTTAACAGACCCATAAAAAAATGTCACAATTGTAACACAATGACTGTGATGGTATAAATATGTATAAGCCTAGCATTGATTTTCGGCCAATAACACCAGGACAGGTTGGGTCCAGGCAACACATTGTGCCTGTGGCTGGGAAATCTGATAAGGAAGCGGTATGGTGTATTTGCATCTTTGCAATAGCGCGCTAATGTCACTTTAAAGTGCCACCTCATTTAATAGCTTACTTTCTGTAACCAAATTGTTACTTACTTATGTTATACGCGTAACAAACTGACGGCTTCACATCATGACATGTATATAAAAGCCTAGCATATTTGCGAAGGTTCGGCACTTGATACCGGAGATGGGTTCCAAAACTAGTCACCTAATTTTCATTTGAAAAGGGAAGTATCTAGGTATCACCTCGCTACGCTCGGCAATGCTTTTTAAGTTATACTGGATTTTCTTTTAACTTAACTGTTCCCGATGGTTGGGCAAGTGTATCATAAAAAAAATATTTCCTTGTAGATAGTGCGGAACGCTGGGGCATGTTCCCCTCTCCCAACCCAACTCAACTTTCAAAATTCCAAGATCTTACCCATACCTGTAAATGTATGTATGCTTGTTGTGGTATAAGTGTAAGTATACCAACAATTCCACCTACACTATTACCGATGTTACTTTTCAATATTACCGATGTTACTATTCAATATTACTTCATACCTTTTCAAAGAAATGTTTCATAAAAACTCTCATGTTGCCATGCATTTGACACAATTGTATTCATTCGACTGACGACATTTGAATGTTTGAAAATAGAAACAAGAAAAAACTGAAGGTAGAACCACGGAATTAGATTAGCTATCTAAGTCTGCGGTAAAACAATCTGTCATTTTTTTCCCTCTCGGAGACTGAATCTATTGGAATTACCAGAGACGTAAATGTATAATATAATATAGGCCTATTACTTTATTTTTTATTTTATATTTTATTGCCCCACAACATTTTTGGAATACTGCCAGGGTTGGGGCCCTGGATTCAATATCCTTACAAAGATAGGCCTATTACGTTATATATATACGTCTCTGGAATTACACACGCATCAAAATGAGTGTCCAATTTATGGGCCACAAAGTATAGCAGAAACTTGACAGGGAAAGTTATTCTAACCCAGATAAAGGTCCTTTAGATTGTCTTATCTTTAAGATAGTGAGGAGAGTGCTCCAAGTCGAAAAATACTTAATGGAACTCTTCTTCATGAAAAAAAATGATGCAGTGGTACCATTCACCTTAAGAAGAGACATGGAAAGCTAATAGAAGACAGTACATATCAATACAAAGCAATAAACAATAATATTCGTAATACGCATGCAGCATGATTAAAAATAGTATCAATATCTGACACATGAGGGCATTTCGTCTGCTATCCGGTTTTTCTTTATTGATTAGAGTTACCTCCCTTCTACAGACTTTGTAAAGAGCATCTGAGGTGTTGTGATGGACCAGTGAAGAAGAATTTGACCAACATTCCCATCTTTGGGAGGGATTCAGGAGAGACTTCCGCTTGGATTAAACTGCTTATGGATGCAGTCATTCACGGAATGCAGAATAGCAGTGTCTGGATTGAAAAGGTAATTAAACCATCCTCTTCATATTTAATGAGCAGCCAGCATAATGTGGTTCTAAAGCCGAATTTACTTCGAGGCTATCATAATAATACAAACATGTATATATAATGGCGTTATTATGGCAGACACTCTTACACATGCTTAGGTGTGTAATCCAGAGCTGTATCCCCGACGGAAGGTCAGCACCATGTTTTGACTATGCCATTGGCTGGTATCGATCTACATCTTTTATAAGGGGATGATGTAGTAACCTTCCCAAGGACGTCCCACAGTAAAGACCTGTATTATGTGCCGGAGAAGAAATAATTCGGGTGTTCTGCCCTTCAGTACGAAAGCAGGGAGGTGTTACCTTATATTTTGTACAGTAGCATTAAGTAAATATTTCTAATGGTCAACATTTTGATCCGTGGCCGGCTACTGTACTAAATGATTATGAGTATCCAGTGCAATTAACTATAATTAATTCCTACCAGGTACATGTATGTGACTAGGTATTACATATCCGTATGCGTGTAGTAGTAGGACCTACATGAACATTATGATTATGCTAATTAACGCCTTAGATTTTATGAACTGTCACAGCTGTGAAAGATTTTTATATACATGCCGTATAGTGCCCCCTGCAGGTACACATACACATACAGCATATATAATAATTATACTGTAACACACTCAATGTGACAAGTAACAACATTACATTCCCTGTTATATATGTATATATAACAAACATATATATGTATAGTGCATGTTCCAAATAGGTTCAACTTCACACACGTATATACAATACACACATATACTCATATAGTGTTCCCTGATGATTTACACACATACATGTACATACAGGCATCAATGCAGGACTCGAAGTTATTACCCTTTTTGAAATAGGGGAAAATATGTACTGGAGTTGTATGACCCGTCCAGCGAGGGCTGCAGGCTAGAGCCAGAGGGAGAGTACAAGAGGGGGGCATGGAGATTACATTTTTGATTTTGTTTCTCGCTGTTCATTATAGATAATAAAATATCAGCAATGACAATTAATAACAAAAAAACACAGGGAAAATGAAATAAATCACTCAGTTGTGGAACTGATGGGAATAAATGGAACCAAGACAGATATTCATGTGGTAGTATTTTAGTTACAAGTGGGTGAACTTTTAACTGAAATAGGGAAAGATAAACCTGAAATAGGGGAAAATAATGTCAAAAACCTACTTATATATCCCTGACATATATAATCCATACATCTATAATACAATACTAGTGTCCCCAATAGAGTCACACACATCTTATACCTAAAATACCTATGCTATGTGTAGGTATTATAAGTGTGTGAAACCGAGCTAGGGGACACTGTATAGTTCTTCTAGACTAGTTAATGTCAAACTGTTTGTGATCAGTATTCAATTAGCACTAGAAAATATGGATACAGATTCAAGACTTCCGAATACTTATTATGAAAATATTCATTTCAACATTTGCTATATTTTCACAACCTTTTTTTCCAGGTATAAACAAAAATGGGGGCGTTGGTAGTGTGATATAGGCAGAATATGTATATAGAAGTACACAGTCCCCCTCTTCTGGAGAAAACACTGTTTACATTAGGCAAAGACACACAACTGTTAATATTCTAAAGCAAGACAATAACACTGATTTGCACACAGGTATTATTCTATAAAAAAAGAAAAGGAGACCAACTTTTTTGGTAAAAGTCAGTAACTCTCAATCTCACTGTTGATGTAATTACTTTTATTGTGTTACAGTGATGTGACCATCCGCCGTAAAGAATGCCTCATTTAGAAGGGGCAGACCACCATGTCTCACGTGTGTTTGTACTCTCTACATGGAGCTGTCATTCGCAGGGGAGTTAACTCTCCCGGCGTGTCACTTGCCTCAGCAGAGTCCCTTGCAGACCTGTGTTGTGAGTTTCAACACGTAGTGAACTCTGTCATCGACGGAGAAAAACGTCTTATTGCTGTTATACAATTTCCTTTCCGAGGATCGGTTGTACGGATTGACCTCTCTGACCGTAAGTGTATACTGTCACGTTGTTGCATGCTTGTTATATGTCAGGCACTCAAATCATGAACTGCTTATTTAACAAGAGAAGATGAACACTGCATGTAGATGACATCAATCATTGTAGTACAATACATAACCAAATAATACATAGTAGGAATGAAGAGATGAATACAATCTTCCCCTAACTTGAGGGTGTGACAGAGAAATCTCCAACCCGAGGGGTGATGTTTTTTGGGTGTGTAACCCAAGGCTCTGCCGAGGGTTAGACAATCAAAAAAATCACCCGAGGGCTGGAGATTTCTCTGTTATGTACACCCTCAAGATAGGGGATGATTATTTTTATCCCATCCTATAATTTCAGTCACAGCTCCACCAACAGTAGTCTGCCATGTTTGTAAACAAAAACACATGTGGGGTATGCATATTGTCATTCAATTTTGATGACGTCACAATTACCGATGACGCATTTTGATGACGTCACAATTACCGATGACGCATTTTGATGACATCACAATTGAACGCGTGCTAATCGGCATGAAGCTATCTCTCCTAGGGGGTGACAAGCTGATCTTCCCTGGCTAAAACGGGAGACACACCTGTGAAGGGTGGGAGAAGATTGCATCTATGCTACCAGTATTGACTCCAAATGTTACCCTGCCCCTGGGAGCTTAATTATTCCCTAGGTCATACATATCTTCGGAAATGGTTGAGATTTTCACCCCAATACATGTAACTACATACATAGTGCTGGGCATGAAGAGATGAATACATCCATTGCACCAGGATTGGCTCCTAAACCCATCTCGCTCTCTGGGACTTAGTTAAAGTCCCTAGATGGTATCTTTGAAAATGGTCGAAATCACCATCAAACTAAATAAATAGTTTGCTGGACATGACCATATGAATTATTTATATGTCCATGCTTCCAGGATTGGTCACAAACTCCAGCTCACCCCTGGAGACTTAGTCATTGGTCGGTTCATGGGTCATTACATTGAAACAGTTGAAATCCCAACACCATGACCATATTTATAACAATTGTTTGAACACGAAGAGACAAATATATTCCTGCTAATAGGATGAGCCCAAGAGTCTGCCAGCCGCTACCTTAGTACGTTGTCTCTGGGCCATATTAACATGGAAAGAGATTTTTATTTTATAACAATTTTTGCAAATGCTATGCATGATAAGGTGAGAGCATTAATGCTAGCCAAAAAGGATCAGCTTCTGTGTTTGGTTTCTCACCTGGGAACTTATAATTGTCCCCTGGGATCACATGTTTGTTGTTGAAATCTGCAATATACAAATGAATGAAGAGAGAAATACACTAATGCTACCACTATTGCCCTAGGGGACCTGAATGTCCCTTGGCACTTTAATAGTCCTGTGATACCAAATTGGGGTCTGCCACAGGGTCTACCTCCACCCTTTGGGACTTCAAGTTCATTGAAGGTCATAGGTCCTATAACCATATTACATATATTTCACATACATGTATGTGGATCTCAACCAAATTTGTAATGAAGCTTCCTTGGTCCTTGTTGTGACCTTAAGCATGGAATCAATTGTTGTTATAAAGGAAGGGTGTATAGCCCCCATGGGGATTGAGAGGCTTAGATCATTTGGGAATTTACATCAGTTTTGTTTTAAAAGCCTACTCCTCCTGACCAGTTGATTACATTTAAACCTTTGCTTTGAAGCATAATTGAACTAGGGAATCAATTGTTGTATTTATAAATTTATGAAAGATGTTTTACCTGGCCCCCTTGGTACTGAGAGACAGTGCAACCCCCCCTAAATTGCAACTTTTATATTTAATATGAATATTTTGCTGTAGTTGCTTTATATTTCCAGGTGAGTGATACAGGCACTTTGGGCCTCTTGTTTTGTTACAATAAGAGATATGAATTTATGATTGGAGAGGTGATACATACTTAAATGACCTGGTTGTATGTCTAGTTCAGGTATATTTTGTATACACAATGAGCAATGATAAGGCTGATTCAGGTATATCTAATATCTATATAGATGTAATACACAGACAGTGTTGAATTTCCTGATCAGCTTTGGTGTACTTCCATGTGAGACATAGTGATGAATACACCAGCTGTTACCAACAGCGATAACCAGGAGGTTGCTGAGGTAGTGTACGTGTTGTACATGTATGCAGGGAGGATGTGTGTGACTTTGCAGTCGTGTATAAAATCCAAGTTCAGATGATTTCCGTGAAATATCATTGTATACTCACTGTGTATACCAAACTTTTGACGAATGGCCAAACATTGCCAGGGGATGTTGTGCTTCACTCTGTGTTTTGTTCGTAATTACTATCTCTAGTTTGTGTAGCTGAGGAACCTGGTGCAGATGTCTCAAGATGGAAGTCGGTCTCCTTTATTATCATACACACAAGTAATTCATTCTCCTGAGTAACATTTCTGTGGAATGAAGTAGAAAATTGTGGATTTGCCAAATCTGGGAGGAGGACTGGCCTAGGCCAGTCTTCCATAAATATGACAGGCAGGGCTGCTCTAAAACTTTATATTTACAAGAAGAACTTTGCAGTGATGTCACATGACCTTGAAGTTGAAGATATTGATATTACACACACATCTATGAGCATTTGTATGTATACACTGATCGAGGAGTGTTTTGTTTAAACAGATGTGTATATGCAGATATAATATGTATGTTATATATATCTATGTACTTGTTTTTATTTACAAACATATATGTTTAAGCACAATACATTTATATTATACCTCTTACATTCATAATAATGTTATATAGTTTGCTAAATATGTGTTGCTTTATATTCTAATTGCTTGTAATTGCTTATAACATTAGAGGTATTGTGATTTTTTTCAAAGGTGGTAGTTTTGCGTTAATCTTCACTTGTATTTTTTTACATTAACGTCATCTGCATATCAAGTATCATATCCACAGCAGTTACCAGTCCTGTATAAAATAATCCATAACAGTTGTTTCCAGTATGAATAAAATTCACAGCAGTCAATCTTACATAATGTATATCAAGTAAACCACAGCAGTTGATCCCATCACCAATGTAATTCACAGCAGTGGATCACAATACCAATGTAATTCACAGTAGTGGATCCCAATACCAATGGAATTCACAGCAGTTGATCCCAACACCAATGTAATTCACTGCAGATGATCACAATACCAATGTAATTCACGGCAGTGGATCCCTATACCAATGTAATCCACAGCAGTTAATCTGAGCACTAATTTAAACGACAGCAGTGGATCTTAACACTATTTAATCAACAACAATGGATCTGAACACTATTTAATCTAAAGCAGTTAATCCAATACCAATGTAATCCACAGCAGTTAATCTGAGCACTAATTTAAACGACAGCAGTGGATCTTAACACTATTTAATCAACAACAATGGATCTGAACACTATTTAATCTAAAGCAGTTAATCCAATACCAATGTAATCCACAGCAGTGGATCCCAATACCAATGGAATTCACAGCAGTTGATTCCAACACCAATGTAATTCACAGCCGTTGATTCCAACACCAATGTAATTCACAGCAGTTGATTCCAACACCAATGTAATTCACGGCAGTGGATCCCTATACCAATGTAATTCACAGCAGTGGATCCAATACCAATGTAATTCACAGCAGATGATCCCAATACCAATGTAATTCACAGCAGTGGATCCCTATACCAATGTAATCCACAGCAGTTAATCTGAGCACTAATTTAAACGACAGCAGTGGATCTTAACACTATTTAATCAACAACAATGGATCTGAACACTATTTAATCTAAAGCAGTTAATCCAATACCAATTTAATCCACAGCAATTGATCCCAATACCAATTTAATCTACATCAGTTAATCCAATACCAATGTAATCCACAGCATTTGATCACAATACCTATTTGATCTGCAGCAGTTTATCCCAAATATCAAATTAATCAACAAAACAGTACTAAACTACATTTGTATAACAGCGATATCACAGCAGTTGATTATGATCCTGATATCAAACATATCCACAGCTGTCAAGGCCTTCACTAATTTTTCCACTGTTGTTGACATCCCCGCACCTCATTAATCCACAGCATTTGATTCCCACATAAAAAATCCACAGACAACTAATGAAGGACGATGGACAACAACAGATGAAAACATAAAACATTGGTTAGTTGTTCAAACTGGATATGAACTGAGTCAGAGAATGATATTCACAGACAGCAGTTAAGACAGTTAAGAAAACAAGACATATCCACCATTAATTGCTGTAGTCGTACATGTTGTGAGGCTGCACACCTGTGTACTGACATCCTGAGTAGGAGACCTTTTCCCGTACTTTTCATGTTTGTAACATGATGGATTTATGAAAGTGTATGTTACTCCAATGATATCATGATATTGATGATGTCATTTTTTCCTTTGTTATGTAACTATGACATATCTTGAAAATAAACACCCCGACACCTACAGAAGTTCTGATGAGGTGAAAGGCCTGGAGACAATGCCACCATTTCTGTAATATAAATACTTTGTGGTATTTCATGATATTGTATATATGGCACATCGAAAGCCATTATACATCGCAAATATGAATACTTTCTATTTCTATGATTTGATAATGATGCAGTGTTTTTCACAGATTTGTGTATTAATGTAAATGTCAACAATCGATGATGTCCTAAATATGTGTACTATTTAACTGTGATGTCCTAAATATGTGTACTATTTAACTATGATGTCCTAAATATGTGTACTATTTAACTATGATGTCCTAAATATGTGTACTATTTAACTGTGATGTCAAATATCGGTTGCTTAGTGAACCCATGAATGAGCAAAAGGGTTTAAAGTTTTGTCTTATATTTTGTACATTTATCTTAAATATACTAATCACATGGATGCTATTTATTATATTTTTGCGGTATTTGGGGATATTTTGGATGTGGTTATATTTTGATTTGATTGGCACTTTCAGTAAATGACCAAATTTAAACGCACCAAAATTTCACGATACCAAAATATATCATTACAACACACGGATATCTGCAGACAGTCTTCCAGCTCTTTTGTTATGCATCAATAAGTTACTTTCATGGGCAATGTTTTTAAATATGGATAAGTTACTTTCATGGGCAATGTTTTTAAATACGGATAAGTTACTTTCATGGGCAATGTTTTTAAATACGGATACTTGGAATTGCTAATATGAAGAGCCTAGTTACATTGCTATACAGTGAGTATAGTGGTGAGTTATCTTGCAAACATTTGTTCTGTACAGCCAGATGAGACATAATACAAACAGTTGTAAATTTATGAAATCTGAAAACAACTCTTACCAATAGTCCATACTGACAAGTTTTCTGTGAATACCTGGAAAACAAAAACTCAGATGATCAAATCCTAGAATTTAACCGCACAACTACCATAACACAATGGAATACCGTAACACAATGAAATACCGTAACACAATGGAGTAATGGAGCAACTTAAGATGTTAAGAACTATAGGCATCGAAAAGCAACAAAACTTAGCGCAGGCTTAGGTCATCAAATGATAATTGACACACCAAAGTTGAACCACCTCATTTTGAGTAAAAAATGCCAAATTTTGGGGATGCTAAAAAATATCCCAAAAGTACAGTATACGTAGTTGTGTTATGTTGTATAATTTGTACATTTATTTCTCCTATACCTATCGCATGGACACTATTTTATTACTTTATATATATATAGTTGTTGTGTTGTGTCGTAGGTGTGCATGCTGCATGAGTACAGTTGCTGTTACAGATAATGGCGGTGTTGTGTATAGTTAGTGTGAAACAGCTTGTCACCATGTCACTGTGTAAACTGCGAGGCTGTACACCAGTCAGAGTTGCTTTAGGTAAGACAAATTAATCACAGACGCAGTATTAAAGTTGAACATTCAACACATCACTTTGTTCTCCCATAGCTGTCAACCTCCCTCATTTTGACCAAAATTTACCAAACTCCCTCGAAACTCCCTCATTCAAGTCCAAACTCGCACAAACTGTAAATCTACATCCTGTGATCAGGTGATCTCCTAGCAACTGCAGTGTGTGTAATGATCATAACAGGTGTGTCTGAATCAAATGGATACTTTCTGGAGTTATTTTGATACATAAAAAGGGAAAGAGCAAAGAAATTTCGGTCGCATTTCACACACTTTCTCCCTCATTGGAAATGCGGAATGAGGGAGATCTCCCTAATTGGAGGTTTCAGAGGTTGGCACTTATGTTCTCCAAATTCCATCACTTTGTTATCCTTAACACATCAATAAATTTAAAAAAACTTATGACTTCTTTGGTATACATATGACCAAGAGGCTTAAAGTCCTGATGGTTATTTGTATGCTATAATAAAGAGCTAGAATGATGTTCAAATAAATGACCTTGATCGTCTGTCAGGGTCACAGGAGTAAAATATGTTCAAATATTTTAACAACATCAGAATATACAAAGGCCTATGTCATATTTGGCTTACAGCTAAATGGTTTAAATTTTATAAAGTATGGGATCTAAAGATTGACTTACAGGTAGATAAACTTTGAAAGTCATATTACCAGTAGTGAGATAATTTGACCTTGACCTGTGTAGAGGTCACAGATAAAAGTGAAACACAGACCAATTGGACAATTTGTTTGTAATTTTTCAACTGATCAAGTGTACTCTTTTGTACCATGTATGAAAAATCATCAGAATAAAAGACTATGTGGGCTTTAGTACTCATGGGCCTCGTTATTATTTTATAATAAGACCACTAGCTTCCTGTCAACAGTCAACCTTAAGTTTGATTTCAATTTCTTGATATTTATATGCATGTTTTACAGCTAAGACCTTATATCTCTCCTACTGTATGTACTCAGCCTTGGGTTTGGTATCACTATCTGTATATACTGTATTTGTGTTTTATTGCCAAAACCATTAGTCTCCTGTTTACATGCACAGATCAGACTTGGGTAAGGTATCACTATCTGTATATATTTATGTATTTCACAATTACGACCACATTTCTCCTGTGGGTTAGGTATCACTATCTGTATATTTGTGTGTTATACAGCTAAGACTACATGTTTCAATGTGAGCCCTCAGCCTTGGGTTTGGTATCACTATCTGTATTTGTGTTTTTTACAGCTAAGACAATCCAAGTCTCGTGTGTGCCCTCAGCCTTGGGTTTGGTATCACTATCTGTATTTGTGTGTTTTACAGCTAAGACAACCCAAGTCTCCTGTGTGCCCCCAGCCTTGAGTTTGGTATCACTATCTGTATATTTGTGTGTTATACAGCTTAGACTACATGTTTCAATGTGAGCCCTCAGCCTTGGGTTTGGTATCACTATCTGTATTTGTGTGTTTTACTGCTAAGAAAACCCAAGTCTCCTGTGTGCCCTCAGCCTTGGGTTTGGTATCACTATCTGTATTTGTGTGTTTTACAGCTAAGACAACCCAAGTCTCTTGTGTGCCCTCAGCCTTGGGTTTGGTATCACTATCTTTATTTGTGTGTTTTACAGCTATGACAACCCAAGTCTCTTGTGTGCCCTCAGCCTTGGGTTTGGTATCACTATCTTTATTTGTGTGTTTTACAGCTAAGACAATCCAAGTCTCCTGTGTGCCCTCAGCCTTGGGTTTGGTATCACTATCTGTATTTGTGTGTTTTACAGCTAAGACAACCCAAGTCTCCTGTGTGCCCTCAGCCTTGGGTTTGGTATCACTATCTGTATTTGTGTGTTTTACAGCTAAGACAATCCAAGTCTCGTGTGTGCCCTCAGCCTTGGGTTTGGTATCACTATCTGTATTTGTGTGTTTTACTGCTAAGAAAACCCAAGTCTCCTGTGTGCCCTCAGCCTTGGGTTTGGTATCACTATCTGTATTTGTGTGTTTTACAGCTAAGACAACCAAAGTCTTGTGTGTGCCCTCAGCCTTGGGTTTGGTATCACTGTCTGTATTTGTGTGTTTTAAAGCTAAGACAACCAAAGTCTCCTGTGTGCCCTCAGCCTTGGGTTTGGTATCACTATCTGTATTTGTGTGTTTTACAGCTATGACAACCAAAGTCTTGTGTGTGCCCTCAGCCTTGGGTTTGGTATCACTATCTGTATTTGTGTGTATTACAGCTAAGACAACCCAAGTCTCATGTGTGCCCTAAGCCTTGGGTTTGGTATCACTGTCTGTATTTGTGTGTTTTACAGCGAAGACCGGAAGTCTTTTGTGAGCAGTCAGTCGGGTTTGATATCACTATTTATATTTTTGTGTTTTACAGCTAAGACCACTAGCCTCCTGTGTGCTGTCAGCCTCGGGTTTGATATCACTATTTATATTTGTGTGTTTTACAGCTAAGACCACTAGCCTCCTTTGTGCTGTCAGCCTTGGGTTTGGTATAAGTACCTACATATTGTACCGACTGTATTGTCGTTACATACAACCATTCTTCAGGAAACCGCCGGATGGAAAGTCTGAGACAACTACTTCTAACAAAAGCACTGTAAGTATCATTGAATTATACCCCTGAACTAAGTAAAGGGGGGAAGGTGGAAATTGGTTGTCTGTCCATACAACCAAGCAGTACTTGTGAGCTGAAGGGTATGGCCAAACACTATGAAATTCAGCAGATGCATCCTGTTTGCTCCTCATCATGTTGAATATTTAAGAAATAAATAATATCATTAATGTACATGATTTTTAGGGTGAAATATGCAACGAAGGTGAGATAATGCTGGAAAAATATATTAAACAGAGGTCACTAAGAGATCTATATCCACCATAAGATACATACTGTACAAACATATGTTGATTATATATATATATTCCACCATGTGAAAATTTAATTGAATGTGCTTTGTTGTCTTCTTCGGCATCTAAAAGGCAACTTGACCTAGCTTATTTATTTATGTACAGTAAACTGAGCTTTTCTTTCATGCACATAGACATTTGTCAACATTTTTATTCCACCAAGAAGCTGCAGCTGGTGTCATAATTTCTGGATGCTTCAGCCAATGGTCATTAACATGGATGTATGCGGAAATGTTCTGAAATGTTTATGCATGCTTATATCCTCACGCGACAAAGCTAATTTATCTGAGACTATTCACCTCTCTTGTTAGCTGACACTTGACCTTAAGGGGGTAAGGTCATGATATTTGGCTAAGCCCTTATTGACAATGTTTGCAAGAAGAAATGACCTTGACCAATATTCTAAAAGGTCTAGAGTTCTGATATTCAGCCAATAGTTTACTTACATGGAGTGCTTCAATTTTTTATGGAAAGAAATAACCTTGGCCTATATTTAAGGTCACATGGGTTAAATTTGTCAAAAAGCTTAAACAACTTCTGAAGAACTAAAAAGCATAGAGTCATGATATTTGAAAAGTACAGTGTAGCTTGCTGGAATAGTTGCAGCTGCTACAAAATTTGCAAATAGAAATTTAATATTTCAAGTAACATTATCTTAAGAGCCATGTTTGTATGTACTGAAGTTCCTTCTTTCAAAGAGAAACATTGATATAAATTAACCATCAATCACCTTAACTGCTAAAATGGCCATTGCTGGATAATATGTAGAACCACTACTACACCCAAACACCGGCACAGGAAATCAGATATAGTAGAGACTGAGGCCAGTTTTCCAGTTGTTGGAGGAAACAGTATAGTACAGGGAGCAAGCCATTGGGTTACTGATAAGATATAATAGGAAAATCTACAGACATATAAGCAGGACAAGCTCATGGCTTAAACCAAAACAGTGACATTGGTGAATATCTTGTAGATAATAAATCTCATGAACCCTTAAGATATTTCCTTTGTATTTACACCATCGTAGGTTAGCATCAAGTTCTACCCCTTGTTAGATTTTGTTGGTCATCTTTAAGGTTAAAGGCACATTAAGTGTACATAAGATGATTATTTTCAAATGACATACAGCTTATTTATGTAACAGAAAATGGAATAGTGTGCTTCCACCGAAGATCAAACCAGTGACCAATGAGCTTCCTAGTCTGCTGCTATACCAATAGAACTAAAGGGAATGTCCCTCTAGTGTGGAGCTATATGGTCATACCATTAACACCTGCCACACTACTCCCCACTTTATAAACATGCTACTCCTTAGAAACCACACCAACCCAGGTTTGAACTCCCTGTCGCCAAAGGGTGAGCCACAGACACCATTTGTAAAGAAAAGATAGAGTGTATTCACCAGGGATCAAACCTGTATCCTCCAGGTTCCCAGGCCACTATTTTACCAATTCAGCTAAAAGGAAATTCCCTCTAGGTGAAAGCTAAAATTTGATGGCTGGTAACCAGGAGCTCAACTGATTAGAGCAGCCATTTAGAGGAAGGAGATACATGTACTGATAATATTAAGATAATTACTGGTATTACATGACACGTCAGACATTGTTAGACCACATTCATTACTTAGTATATGTACACAATTTCTTATTAAATAAGTCTAAATGAATTATCATCATTATCATTATTTAATATACTTTTTAGGTCACCTGAGACAAAGTCTGAAGTGACCTATTGCGATCGCCTTTTGTCCGTCGTCGTCCGTCCGTAAACAATTTACATTTTCGACTTCTTCTCCAAAACCCCTGAACCAATTTCAATGAAATTTTGCAGGGACCTTCCATGGACAAAGGTCAACAAAAA